GGAAAGGGTAACTTGGCTCAGGCTCCCAATACAGGTAAGCAGGAGTGTGGTTTGCCTCTCTCCTGTTTCTCAGAACTGGTGGGACACTCTGTCATGACTGAACAAGGGAGTAGGATGGGGCATTCAGCAGTGACACAGGCAGACCAGTTCCAGGTTGCGAGGCTGTCCCAGACTGCAAGTTGTGATGCCCAAGAGAAACCTTGATTTCAGCAACTCTCCTCCCACTCCAGTCCAGTGATGGGAGAGAGCTCAATTCCAGAGCTTACTGTTGGGGTGCTCACCACACTCATTGCTCAATTCTGACTGTGGGTGCCCTTTCCCTGCTCCAGAGCAAGTGCTTCTGTCTCTGTCCTGAGACTAAAATGCCTGCAGTGACTGCTGCTGCCAGGTCACCAATGACTGACTTTGCAGGAGCGCAGATTAAAAATGGCAATGTCTTCTCAGTTCTGGGTCTGGGAAACAGCTGCAGATTTTCCTGGTGTCTTTCCCTTTCATCACCTTCCAGCCTCCCTGCAAGTAAGTTCCAGTGTTTGGGGCCTGGATCTGTAGCGGAAAGGAGATTCAGAGAGGGAGACTCTGGCCCTCTCACACACTGGAGGCTTCACCCGTTTTGATAAGCTGAACACCATCATAGGGCCTGCATTCCCACCTCCTTCACTTGGGATCTGAAGTGTGTTTCACTATTTCAGCGAATTCCCAGATTTTTTCTTGAATTAAAGCTCACAGAATTGATCTTTATATACTGTTTTGCTATTTCCAAGTGGCTGAGGCATGTTAAAGCCTCTAATCTGCCATCTTGGCAAAAAAAAAAAAAAAAAAAAAAAAAAAAAAAAAAAAAACCACACACACACACATTTTTTTTAAAAAAAGAAACAAAATGATAGTTTTATTTATTTGTGAATTTGTATCAATGGAATCATCCCATTGTACTTATTTACTGTCAAATACTTTCATTTAATGTGTCATGATATTCAGTCAAGTTGTTGCAGACAGCAATAGTTGTTATCTGTTTCTTAGTGTTTCACTTTATGAGCATTTTACAATTGTTTTATCATACTGCTTCAAACATTTGTGTGCTTCCAGTGTGAGGCTGTTTTGAATAGTGCTGTTATGTACATTCCGATACGTCTTTTTGCTATCACAAAGTATTGCTGCATTTCTGTTCAGTACATACCTACAGCTGCAATTGCTAGATATGCATGTATTTACTTTAAGTAAATTCCACCAAAGGATTATCCAAATGGTTGAACTATTTTACTAATTTTTCTATGAGACTGTGATTGTTTCACTTTCTTGTCAACAGACAACATGATCTGTCCTTTTTTCATTTGAACCATTCTGATGAGTTATATAATAATATCTAATTGAAGTTTTAATTTGTATTTCCATAAAGCTTAATGATGTTGAGCAATTCAAGTTTGCATTGTCAGCAGTGATTCTTCCTTTGTGAAAGCCTAGTTTATTTTGCATATATAAGCACACAGTTGACTTTATTTGTTTTTAAAACAATCACAGGTATATAGAAGAACTGCTTGTTCTTATAAATAACTGTTTTACATGGAACCTTTTGAAAGTAAATACTGACCTGATTCCACATAGTTGAAGTATTTTAGTATGTATTTACTCAAAACAATGTGCTTCTCTTATATAACTATAGTAAAACCATCAGGATCAGAAAATCAACGTTAATGCATTGGAACTTTCTAATTCTTCTTCCTGTTGGTGTTTTACCAAAAGTCCTAAAATATATGCTTTTTGTCCCTCTCATAATTTAGTTCAGAATCCAGAATCGCATGCCACAGCTAGCTGTCTTTCATCAACTTCAGAATCGCATGCCACAACTAGCTGTCTTTCATCAACTTCTCTTTCATCAACTTCAGTGTGGAGCAGTTCTTTAGTCATTACTTGACTTCCAAGACATTGACACTCTTTGAGAGTATAGGCTGAATATTTATAAAATGTCCCTCAATTTAGGCCTGTCTAATGTTTTTTAATGATTAAATTGAGCAGATGAATCTCTGCCAGGAATATCACTGAGGATACTTTTCATTTTGGAGTGATAGACAATTTCAATGTGTTTCATTAGAATGATGTCATTTGATTACTAGGTTCAGATAGTGTGTGGCTGTCTTCTCCATTGTAACTATGTTCTTCTCAACTATGTAACTTAGATGTATTCTGTGGGTAGATTCTTTGAAATTTTGTAATTTATTGTAAACTAAAAATAAATCCCAAGCCTGCTTGGACAAGGGAACCCCAGCAAAACCTTAAAAACTGTATTCCCGGCCGTGAGAGGGTGGGAGATCAGACATGTCTCTTTAGACCCCCTCCCTTTTGTGGTTGACACAAAACAACTCATCAACATCAGTGTTAAAATAGAGACCATGAGACTGATGGGGTGGACTCTTTGTGGCAATAAGATACTAACTTATAAATAGGACCTAAGGTCATGGCAGGCAAGAGTTAGGTCATTCACCCCCACACTTAAAGAATAAACTGTGTTTTAACTGGCTCAATATTTTAATTTTTCTCTAGCAACTATACAAGCACTGGCCTCCACCAGTTGCCCACCTCGACCCACTGTTCCACAAGCCATAGCTACAGCTTTCGTTGGACAAGAGACTGATTTCAGTAACCTTATTCCGATAAGAGGACCACTGAACCTGCTGTAGTGGTTCTGACTGTTTACAGAGGCTTTGTGCTTGAGTGCACTCATGTCCCTGCTCAATTTTTTCGCCTGTGGGGTTAAAGATGAGTGGATCAGTGAAGAAATGGAGATTAAGTGTCTAAATTCATGCCTCTGTTTTGGTATCATTGTGAACACTAAATAAAAATTTGAATTTTTTTTGCTTTATGTTTTCAACTTAGAGTCAAGTATGATGTATACTAATCATATTGCTAATCATATGTTCTGGGTTTTATTCTTCTCTCTCCAAACAAGAACAAAATCCTTGAAAAGTCTCAACAGATTACATTATTTTTCCAATTTCTATTTCTTGTTTTACACTTAACATAAATGCACCGGTAAATTGATTCTGTGGCCCTGAAGTAATTAGCCTCATTTTATCCACAAATAATACACAACTGAACTGATTCTCTCAATATTTCCCTGAAGGTTGTTTCTTCCCTTGGACAGACTTTTCCTGTTATAAAGCCAAACTTTCAGTAACTCTAGATGGCAAACATCCAGAGACCTTCCTCACCCTCTTCTCCTTTGTCACTCTCTCTGCTTATTATTATGAGGACAAGACTGGCCTCCTGGCACTCTCTTTTCTTTTATTTCTTGCATTATGCTCAAAAGAGGGAAAGTCTGAGAACTGAACCAGCAATTAATAACACTTTTTATTTAGCACATTCACAAAAGAAATGGATCTAAATTATCATTCATTAATCACTTCTCTGTGTTTTACAGTGATAACATATTAAAAAGTCAGCATCAGAAAAGTATTAGCATATGTGACAGTCAATACAAGTGTTACGAGTATGAATAATTACAGATATACTTGTACAGTGACCTGAACAACTCTCCTTAATGGAGGTTGGATGCTCACGGGATATTAAGTGCATGGGAAGATGTGATGAGAGGTCAGAGAAGACATAACGGTGGGAATGTCGTTGATAAAAAAGAATTTCAGGTGATAGCAGATCGGCAGCCAGATGGGCTAGCATTCTTCAGACAGGAATGAAGCAGATCTGGTACGAGGGTGGCAGAGAAATAATTCCTCTGGTAGCTGAAGTAGTATTGAGGTTCTTTAAATCAGCAACAGGTTTCAGGTTAAAGTTCTGTAAAATTGTGGTTAGAAATAAAAATAGCTCCATGCGGGCAAGTCCCTCTCCTGCACAAATTCGTTTTCCTGAAGATAACAAAGAGAGGAAGTAGTTACTTCTTGTGTTTAACTGTGACCGTGACAGTATGTTTGTGACTTGCACAAACAGAATACACAGTAAATAATTGATTAATGATTGGGTAGATGAATGAACATGTGGATGAATGGATGGATGAAATGATGGATGGATTAATGGATGGTAGGACAAACAAATGTACAAAAAGAGACACATTTGCTATCCGTCTAACATCTAATCTCAATAGGCACCCTTCATTCAGCAAATATTCATTGATTATCAGCACCATAACAGTCGCTTGCTTATTTATTTCCACATTAAAACAACTCTGTTGCCATTTTGAGTTTCCATCTGTCATTATAGAAATACATGCACATTCTTGTTTCCTGTTCCAAGCCTGATATTCCATGATCTTTCCTTCCACTTTTCACATAATCTGTTCTCAACTCTAGTCATATACACTCTTCATCAATCTTGAACACACCAAGAAGTTTCAAGTTTCATATCCTGTTGTTCGTTTTGGCTAAGATACATCTTTATTAGGCTACATTCAGGACATAGGTTCGATTTCATTTCATCTTCACACTCTTTACAATTGTCTCAAGTAATAAAATCCTATGCTCTCTGGTTTTCCTCAACATCATACTCATGTTTTCATTAAAGCATGGATCACCAGGAATCATAATTCTGTATTTATTTATCTATTGTGCTAAAATGTGAATTATTGAAGGAAAGTCTCTGTCTTTGTCATCTTGGTATCTACAGTGCCAAATATAAAGCAGACATAAAAGATCAAAGAGTAAAGGAAGGAGATTCCATGGCCAGAGACTTAGCACACAAAGCACAGGTGTGAAAATCAGTATCCAGGATATATGATCATGATTGGAGGAAGACAGGGTGCTATGGAATCACTGCAAAGTAACCTCCTCCCTTGCCAATGTTTCTGGAACCCCATATTTTTTTGGCAAAGGTTCTGACATCCTTGATCTAAAGTAAATATCCTGCTCTGTCATTCATTATCTCCTTCAAAATGCCCAGCCTTCCCTTAAATTGGACCACCTCCTTTGAAGCACATCAAACGTCCTCTGAGTTTCTTACTCCATTTTATGCCTCACTGTGTTGTATGAGAGAGCAAGAAGCATGCAGATT